CATCAAAGGCAAGAGAGCAACCAGCATTGAGCAATTCTGCCCAACACCACTGCAGAGAAGTCACCACTGTGCTGCAGCTGAAGAAACATCACCTGCCAGATCTTCGAATGAGTCAGGCGTGCCATGGCTGCAGTGACACAGCTCAAGGCAAGCCCGGGTCACTGCAGGAAAATAGTTTGGGAAATCTCAGCAGAGACCAGGACACACACATTCCTGTGGAAACTCAAGGGTGCAGGGGGCAGGCAGGGCTGCGGGAGGCAAGCAGACAGCCCCAAGCTCAGTGCCACCACACAGCCATTACCTGTGCCACTCGTTCAGGGCTGTTCTGGTCTAGCTGGTTGTAGTTTGGTTATACCCAGCACAGTCCTCGCTCATCACAGTTTCACAGCTTGTACAACTGTGTGGGTAATGACAGGTGGGTATTTAGATCTGCCACTGAATGAGATAAGCACAGCACTAGCCAGAGGGTGGCTTAGCTTCCTACAGAAGACTCGACTGATCTACTTTAACTATTGTTCCAGGACCTCTGGGAAATCATAGTAAGAGAACACGCTTATGAAATATTTCACAGAGCAAAAAACCTGGAAATCAGGATTCCCTTTCAATTTTCTTTTACCTCCATTGGGCCCATGAAAGAATGAACAGGGGAGAAGATATGTTGCCAGGAAGCCAGAGGGTTTAGTTAAGCCTGCCTAGTTTCTGCTGATGGCCTTGTGAAGTTCAAACACAGCAGGACAGTTCATTACTTCCAATGATAATTGTGTTCTTCCTGGTAATTCTGGGCACCCTGGAGTCATAACAGTACACATCAGGTAAGTGAACAAGTCACTGCACAAAATGAGCTAAGTCTCATGTCTATAGATCTGTATCTCGTACACCTTGCATCTAACTCTAGTCTTCTCAGCTCCTTTTCACCTGGCTCATCATCAGCACTGGCATCATCAACATTTCATAAGAAGCTGAGGTGTACACTCCTCATTTCAGTAAAGTCTAATACCTGACACAAAAAAGAAAAAAAGCTATTGACAGGATGTTCCTAGGGGAAGCCTGTCCTTTCATAGCCTGATGTTTCATAGCTGGCTATGAGAGCAGTTGTTCTTGCTAGTCCCAGAGAGCTTTGGCAGAGAAAGAAGTATTTTGCATGTAAAATCCAGTAACTCATCATCATCATGGCGAGGCTTCACAAATGAAGATTAGAGAGGGGCTCTACCCATGCTTGCTACAAGCGCACTGATGGCTAAAAAGGCCAATGCGAGATAGACAAGTCCAGTTGCAGAAGGCACAGCAGAAAGACTCCCCAGGTGATATCGACGAGACGTGAGTTTTTCTGCATTGTCTTTTCTCCTCAAGAGTGATCCTGCGTGTGTTCTCAAAAGCAGCAGCAGTGTTATAGATGGTGTGTCTCCAGGCCTCCCGATTGGAGGCCAGGGAAGACCAATGGTGGTGATCAATATGGCCAAGGCTGAGGGATTGTTTCAGGCAGTCCTTGTATCTCCTCTTCAGGGTTCCTCTCTTGCGGCAGCCAGTGGCAAGTTCCCCATAAAGCACGATCTTAGGGAGGCGATGGTCCTGCATCCTGGAGACGTGCCCTGCCCAGCGCAGCTGTGTTCTCAGCAGCATGGCCACAATGCTCGCGACTGCTGCCTGTTCAAGGACAGACGTGTTGGTCACATAATCCATCCAGTGGATGTTTAGGATTGTATGGAGGCAGCGCTGATGGAAGTGTTCTAAGAGATGCAAGTGGTGGCGGTAAATGACCCACAATTCAGACTCATATAAAAGAGTAGACAGTACAATGGCTCTGTAAACACTGTTCTTTGTACTTTTCTTCAGGTGTTTGTTTCACCAAAGTCTTTTATGGGGTTTGCCAAAAGCTCTGTATGCCTTTGCTAACCTGTTGTCTATTTCTTCATCAATCTTACCATCCAAGGAGATGATGTTTCCCAAGTAATTAAACTGTTGGGCTGATTTGAGCTCTGATACACCGATGGTGATATGGGGATGATAGAAGGCTTCCTGAGGTGCAGGTTGAAAGAAAAATTTTGTCTTCTTCAAGCTGACTTCCAGCCCAAAAAGCTCAGCAGCCTCTGCAAAGCAGGATGTTAAACACTGCAGAGCTACTTCTGTGTGGGCCACGAGGGTGGCATCATCAGCGTAAAGCAGCTCACGGACAAGGTGATTTAAGGTCTTAGCGTGGGCCTTCAGTTGCCTTAGGTTGAAAAGGCTCCCATCGGTACAGTATTGGATGTAGATACTGTTTTCTTCATCGAGATCTGCCGTGGCCCTTTGGAGCACCATGCTGAAGAAGATTGTGAATAAAGTTGGTTCAAGAACACAGCCTTGCTTCACACTATTGGCTATTGGAAAGGGCTCAGAAAGTGCATCACCACATCTGACTTGGCCGTGCTGGTCCTCATGAAGGGAGATGATAATTTTAAGGAACTTGGGGGACATCCTAAATATTCCAAAATCTGCCACAGACCTTTTCTGCTCACAGTATCAAAAGCCCAATCCAGTAACTACTTACAAGGGAAACTGATTGGAAATTGCTAGACAGACCACTTTTCTTATTCATGGAAAAAGGGTACCACGCAGAACCCCTTCCAGTACCCAGTTATGGGCTCAAGGACAAATTAAAAGACTATTGCCACAACCAAGGTCAGTGTCATGGTTTTGCTGGTTCTTAGAAACTAAGTAAGAATTTTTCCCTTCCCCTGCCCACTGCATGCAGAGATATTAAGTGGGCACTTAAGGGACACAAAAGAAGTGGTTTTCTGGTTAATTGCTCAGAACTTCATCTCCTAGGAAATGGGTGGGATGAGGGGCTCCTCTTTACTTTTTTCTCTTGTCTCCTGGGAAAGGCGGGGGAAGAGTTTTGGGCTGGCTGCGGAAGCTGGAACAAGGTCGGAGTGGAAGCACGGTGGTTCCTGTTGTTCTCGGCCTGCTTGCCAACTGCGGATCCTGCTTGGATTTTTCATCAGAGAGGAGCTGTTTTCTGGAAGTTTTTCCCCTTTCCCATTCCCACTTTTTTTTTTTTTTTTTTTTTTTTTTTTTTTTTTTTTTTTTTTTT